CCCCGGCTCCGCCCGCCTCCCGTGCCCCGCACCCGCCTTGCCGGTCCAGGGCGCTTCCTGGGGACGGCCGGGTCCTGGCTCTGGCGGATGGAGACCGGAACGGCCTCCGCACGCGCGGCGGCCAGACGCGGCGACCCCATGGCCTCCTGGTCTGTGCTGAGGAATCAAACAGGGCCTCATGCGTGCAAGGCAAGCACTCGACCACTGAGCCACCTTCCCAGCCCCTGTACTTTGGTCTTTTAAAATTCCTTTTCAGCCGGGCGCTGGTGGCTCACGCCTGTCATCCTAGCTACTCAGGAGGCTGAGATCTGAGGATCGCGGTTCAAAGCCAGCCTGGGCAGGAGAGGCCGTGAGACTCCTATCTCCAATAAACCACCAGAAAACCGGAAGTGGCGCTGTAGCTCACGTGGTAGAGCGCTCGCCTTGAGCTGGAGAGCTGAGGGACAGCGCCCAGGCCCAGGGTTCAAGCCCCACGACCGACCAAAAAAATAAGTAAATAAAATAAAATCCCTTTTCCGGGGCTGGGAAGGTGGCTCAGTGGTAGATCACACTTGCCTCGCATGCATGAGGCCCTGGGTTCGATTCTTCAGCATCACATAAGCAGAAAAAGCTGGAAGTGGGGCTGAGGCTCACGTGGTAGGTGCTAGTCTATAGCTGAAGAGCTGAGGGGCAGCGCCCAGGCCCAGAGTTCAGGCCCCACGACTAACAAAAAAGACAAAAAGAAATTGGTTTTCTTCTGCTATATTTTAGATCTTTTGGAACTTTTGTGCATTTTTTTCCTTTTCCTTCTTGTCTAATTGATGCATTTGAACGTGAACATTCAGAATGACTAGAAACATAGTTCAGTCCTCTTCTGTACCACTTGCTTTCTCTTTTTTCCCTTCAGTAGTGACGCGGAGGGCCTCACACTTCTTGGCAAACTCTACTCCATTTGCTATGGTTATTTTTGAGATAGGGTCTCCTATTGATGCCCAGGCCAGCCTAGACTGGAACCCTCCTTTTCACACTTCCCTCATAGCTGGGATGGCAGGAACAGACCACCAGACCCAGAGTTTACAATCTGAGCTGGGACCTCACTAGCATTTTATCCATGCTGGCCTCAAACTGCAGTCATCCTGCTTTCTGACTCCTGAATAGCTGGAGTTACATACAGGAATAAGCCCCTTCGCCACCGCCTGTGATTTCTGTTTAGAATGGCCATTCTAGTGATGGGGATCATGAAGTTAAGGACAAAGCTGGAGAACTGGGACAAAGCAATCTCACGTTCTCATTGAAGTTCCCTCTGACCTTTGACCTCCTGTTACTCTGAGAGCTCTGTGTAGTGTTCTAATTCTGAGGCAGAACTCTCCATTCTACTTGGATAGCCAGGAGCTCTACTGAACGCCTATGGGGATCAAATTGAAGCAAGGGTCATTTCTGTGGTACCTCTATCTGGACAAAATCTATTGCTTATTGTCTTTAAGAAATGTGAAGGCCTTGGTGGAGTATTTTCACATTCTTGATGCACACCACAGGGACACCTTAAATGGTCAGTCTTTTCCCACTCTTCCCTGTTTCCTTACCTAATAACTAAGGCACAGGAAAACTTGCTTGTCTAGAAGTTGCTAGGTTAACAAACACTTCTTGGGTCTCCTATGTGAAGCAAAGAAAGAAACTGTCTACAGAGTTGAGGCTTGTGGCAGTCTAGTGTGAAGGGTATATATAACTGTAGGCTCTGGGGTCAAAGCCCTGCTAAAACAAATATTGTTTGGTGGTTTGGAGGACATCCCATCCTCTTGGTCAATATCCTCAGCTAGAATGATGATGAAATCCAGCGGGTGGGGGATTGCTCGGCCTTAGATCTCGGACATCCTGAGCTCCATCTTTAGCATCCCCAGTGGATTCCACTTCCCAGAGAGAGGTCATTTAATGAGATGGTGAGTGGAAAACTCAGGTAAGGATTTTAAAAAGTGATCCTTATAATTATTCTTCTTAATAGCTAGCACTATTCAACAAGGTCTTACTTCTTGTGTAGCAAATGGCAAGTTTGGGTCAGATGATCTGCACCATCCTTTCTGTGATGCAGAGTCCATCAACTAAGAATAGACCAATTAAACAGGACATCAATTAAACTAATAGGAGACCTGCTAAAGTAATAGATCAATTAACATGTCTTTGGTTCTGTTAGAGCCAAGTAAAGACATGGCACCCTGTCCATTTATTCCAACCTTTCAGGAAATAAATGTCATTTATGAAGGGGTTTCTTCCATCAAGATTTTCTTAAAAGTTCATTGGGTCCTAAGAACAAGAAACAATGGAAGGCGGGGATGTGTCTCTGACGCCCCAGCGCCTAGTAGTAAACATTGTGTCACAACCCCATGCCTTTGTTCTTGTCATCACATGGAGATTGCCTATCGGTGTGAATCTCCCCAGAGCTTTCTGACTGGCCTGGCTCAGAGGGGGTGGCTGCAGGACAGGGAACCATGAATCAGGAAGGCGGGTCTGAGAACCAAGTCTCCCATTCCTGGTCTCAGTGGAATGTCTGCTGTGACAAGTCCAGTCTCCTAAGTAACCACTCCCTGAGGACACAGTGCCCAGAAGTAAACACATGCTCACGTGGCCTGATCACCGAGGATGGTACAACAGCCTTCCTGGTAAGACAGTGCTCTCAAGGCCTTAGAATTGGAGTGGCTAGAGCCCACGGGCTGCAGAACAGTACTTACCAAATACCTATTGGATGTCCCGGGAAAACATTCCTCCAGCATCTGCTCTCACTGTATGTGAGTGTGTGCACATGTACACGCTCACATATGGTAGGAGAAGGGATACTGAGGCCATGGGAAGCCCCCAAACCCTGACATTCTAACCACAGGTTCCCTGAGCTCCTAGATAGGTCCAGATGGGGCTTCAAATTAGACTGATATTCAGACAGTTTCTGTAATCGAGAAGCAAGAAAAAGATCACAAAGGTACACATAAAAATCCCTTTTTGTCCTGTGTGATATGTATGTCTCACTGTGACCAGCCATAGTCCATAGTAGGTAAGTTGCGTTGTTTCTGTCAGCTTATTTTCATTGAAATACAAGATTAGAGAGTGAGTGACAGGCTCACATCTGGGAGGCTGAGAGCTGGAGGACTGAGATTAGAGGCCAGCCTGAGTAGAAAAGTTCATGAGACTCCATCCCCAAAATAAACAGAAAGCAGCTAGAAACCTTGGTCAAGTGGTGGAACCTCAGACTCAAAAGCTCCAGGCCCCTGAGTTCAAACCTCAGTACCACCCCCTCAAAAACCAAAACCAAAAACCACCCTTCCCCCTCTTCAAGTATCACTGAACGTACATGATAGAACATGTACTAACCATGTACTAAAGACGGGACAGAACAAGGCTGTGGAGTCAGAGTGACCTATATTTGAATCCCAGCACTGCCACTTGCTGTGTGGTTAACCTGAGTGTCTGCCAAGCACAGGATGATCTACAAACCAGCAGCAGCCACACCACGCAGGAGCTGGTGGAAATACAGTCCCCTGCTCATTGCCTGAATCATGATTAGTTTGATAAGACCTCTGAGTGGCCAGGGTGCCCAGCAAGTGGCCTCTCTGTCTCCAAAAGAAAAAGTTAACACATAACATTCCTCACCAGGAAGGGCAGGTGTCGGGGAGCTGCCGTCAGGGTGCTCTGGCCCCCATCAGCCAAATCATTTGCTTTACTAAGTATGAAGAACCTACTTCTGCAGGAATGTTAAATTTCTCCTACCTGAAAGGGAAAAGCCCAGGTAAAATGATGGCCTATCCAGAATGGTGTCCTCAGCACCTAGAGAGAACGAAGCTCTCTCCCTCCCATTCAGAAGGAACACTGTGTCTGCTCCACCAATCAGTGCCTTGCCCTCTCAGTGATGTACGTATGCCCGTCTGCCTCAAGGCAAGCGGCTGGGTCCTGTGGCCAAGGCCGACTACTGTCATCCTCCACAGCTCAACATCAGGGACCTGCGTACTGGATTGTCCAGAAACAGAAGAATCACCTCCCAGGTCACGAAGCACGCTACCCAATTCTACTACCTTTGTCTAGATGACTCTAGATGTTTGACACTTGGGAAATGTTGCAGAATAGACCATCTCCTTGCCTTCCCCTCCACAGATGTGCTGTTCTATCACTTCCTCCATCACGTAACCAACCTGAAATCGAGACAGATCAAGATTGTGTTCGACATGATGGACTGGATGTGTGTGGGGGAGATTGGCTTTGACCAGTTCTACGTGTTGATTTGTATACTGCTGTCACACCAGGCAAGTATGCGGGGAGGGCCTGGGCCGGGGGCTTCCAGAGCCACCAGCTCGCGACAGCTAGCACCAGGTGGAAGGCACTGAGATTTGTTTTTTCTCTTCCACTGCAGTACAAGCAAGAGGAAGAAAAAAGAATGGGAGAGGGTTATCTCTGAATAAGCACTCATAACCTGGTCATCTTTGCTCAGCCCACCCCTGTGGCAGCCCCTGCTGGCTGCAGCCCCCCCTTGTAAAGAACTATCGTCCCTGGCCACCACCCTTCACCACCTGCCCACTCCGTGTCAGGAAGAATCAGTTATCAAAAGTGCCTCATTTCCTGCAGTTCCTCTGCTCACTTTTCTGCAGAGAACTGGTGAGAGATGAGCAATGTCCCTTTCAGGATTCCCCCCCAGGGACTACTTACCTGACCGGAGCCCTGGAGAAAGTGACCCGTGTGCCGCTTTAGTATGTTCACAGGGCCGGCACTGCAGGTGAGGTGGTGCATGAATGCGGGCAACAGGGGCTTTGTCTGGCAAAGCTGACTGAAACAGGGTGTGTGGAGGTATACAGGTCCTCCTTGAATGCAAACACTCAGCTAGGCCAGGATGTTGCCACGAATGCTCTTACCTGAGCTTCTGGAACTTCACTTTTGCTTTTGGCTCTCTAGGGAACAGGCTAGTAACAGTACAACTCTTGGGAGCACAAGTTTTTAGGGCAACACCAATATTCTTCCCTACTTTACAAATTTCTCAGAACCACTTGGAAGAACAGTTCATGTATCGTCATTCCCGGCCTGTTTTTGACCTGCTGGACTTGGATGGGGAACTGAATATTGATGCAACTAACTTCCACATGTACAGATTTCTATTCAGTCTCAAGAAACAGGAACTCAGAGATCTCTTCCACGACTTTGACATCACAGGTGACCGTGTAAGTGCAGACCCCACAGGTTTGCCAGTCCTAGGGTGTGGACTCAGGGCCTAACTCTGTCCCTGAGCCTCTCTATGCTCAAGGCTAGCACTCTACCACTGGAGCCACAGCACACTTTTTCTGCTTATGTGGTGCTGAGGAATCAAACTCAGGGCTTCATGCATGCTAGGCAAGCACTCTATCTCTAAGCCACAATCCCAGCCAACAGCTCCTCTTTCTAAGAAAGCAATGTCTTACAACAGTAGAGATGGGCAAAGAAGGTATGGAAAAACTTCCCCAATTAATCATATTACGTAGTGTTGGGATCAGAAAGCAAAAACAAACTGAAGAGATTCTTGGGTCCTTGGAGATAAAGGGTTGACTTATGTAATGATGTAATGTGCTACATCATGCAATCTGACCACAAAAGCATAGAAACTTGTTTGGGGAAGAGTTTATAGGTCTGGATAATTAGAAAGTTCTATAATGGAAACACGAGCAAAAAGAAAGGGCTCTATGGGGAGGGACGGCAGGAAGTGTATGTCGGAGGAGCAAGTGGGAGCTCAAGTTGAAGACGGTAGCTCCCACTGGGGGTGGGGACGGGGGGAGCAGGGCTGCCAGCCAGCAACATCTGGATGTGATACCAGAGACTTAAGACAGTAATCTTTATTCCTAAAGTTCTGGGGCTCAAGACTACAACTACATAATAATTGTGTTCTAATTCTGAGCCTTCTAAACTCTCCAAGTTTCTAAGACATCCTACTGTCTACTACAAAATGTCAGATTTTCCCTGAAATCATTTTTCTTTTTTCCCAACAAAAGCGTCTTAATTACAAGGAATTTAAGTTGTATACTATTTTCTCCACTGACAAGTCCCGGGAGACACAGAAAGTAGTGGAAGAGGAAGAAGAGAAAGAGCAAGAGCAAGAGCAAGAGAAAGAGAAAGTGAAAGGAAGTGAAAAGGAAAAAGGGAAAGAGGAAGAGAAAGACAAATGGAAGGCTCTGCTTATGAAAAGGTTACAGACTAATATAGTAAGCCAAAAGAATGCCCAGTAGAAATTGAGATTTAGAAGTGGAGAACATGATTACGTTGTTAACATGTCTAAAAATAAACTTAAGAGCATCAAAGTGGTTATCTTTACACTGACCTTCGTATAGGTGAGCTCACCGACCCACCCCAGCAGTCCTTTAATAACCTAGGCTTCACATAGAACTGGCAAAAATGCAATGGGAAGTAAGAACCCGAGTTCTAAGGGGACTGTGGATGACTGCAGATTTGACTGGTGTGCTGAGTATAAATGATGACAGCAGAAGACCCTGGTTGTGTGATTGTTTATCCTATGTCTTAAGTAAAGACACAGGGTTTTGAATGTCTGCCCTTCTACAGTAATCCCTGTAGGTAATTGCCTTAGTGATTCCTGGCATCTTGCATCTGTTACAGAAACTACGTATCTTACTGCTGAGTTTTTGTGTTCCCATAAATCCCAGGACCATCTGACTCTATAAAAGCAGTCAAGGAGGTACCGTCGGGGTAACCATGCCTGTTGGTTAGACTCATTCCGTGCCCCAAGGCAAGATTTGCATGGGTATCTGTCACCCCAGAATCTGCTGGTCCTAACTGGTATCTTCCTTTTTTGAGGTGCTGGGATGAAACCTAAAACCTCACCCATGCTGGGCAAGTACTCTACTACTGAACTCATGTACCCCAGCCCCAGTCACTTTATCCACACGGCCCAATTCTGCAGCAGCTTTCCATCAACCCTGCTCATTCGATAGCTGTGAACCAAAATGACTGCTAACTTACTATAAGCCAGCAAATGAAAGCTAAAGCTTCCTTAATATTGGCCACCACGGACCAACTCTAATCTTTCCAGGCTGAGATCACTCGGATGCCAAGGGTTCTAAAATGGCCAATGGTGACAGAACTTCAGCCGCAGGGAAAGTTGGCTTTAAAGGTGTGGAGTCTGTTTTCTTTTGAGACAGGCTCTCACTATGTTGCTCAGGCTGGGTTTACAACTTGTGGGTTCGAGTTGTCCTCCTTGGTAATGGAGAATGCCAGAGAGGTTTTCTGGTTTAAGAATCTGATTTTGTGATGAGGTAAGCCTAAGCCATTAATCAAATCAGAAAGGGTAAAATAATTATTACATGCCTTTGTATCAACTTTTGAATTTTTTTTTTTTTTTGGGTTCGGTCGTGGGGCCTGAACTCTGGGCCTGGGCGCTGTCCCTCAGCTCTTCAGCTCAAGGCTAGCACTCTACCACTTGAGCCACAGCGCCACTTCCGGTTTTCTGGTGGTTTATTGGAGATAGGAGTCTCACGGTCTCTCCTGCCCGGGCTGGCTTTGAACCGCGATCCTCAGATCTCAGCCTCCTGAGTAGCTAGGATTACAGGCGTGAGCCACCAGCGCCCGGCTGTAACTCTATCTTTTCAAAAGAGACTTAGGTAGGAAGGGTCCAGTGTAAGGGTTAACCTGGACAGAAAACATGAGACCTTATTTGGGAAAAGAAAAAAGCCTAAAGCAAAAAAAAAAGAAAAGGGTTGGAGGTATATGGCTCAAATGGTGGAAGGTCTAACAAGGGCAAAGCTCTAAGTTCAAATCCCACTACAAGAATACAGTAATAGGCTCGCTTTAGGTGAATGAGGTAGTTAATGGGAGGAAGATATGAACTTAGTGGAAAACAAAAAGCACAGGAAAAATGTGAGACAAAAAGCCAGAAATACACCACAAAGGGCAAGTAAAATACAGCCCAGCAGCTAGATAATCTCAGCTCAAAGGGTGTGAAAGGCCAGGCCAAAGGAAATGATGGTGACAGTGACAGAAAGAACACTGGGCTTCCTGGTCTCCCCTACAGTGTCTGAGGAGAGTGAAAAACAGAACAATATAAAATTGAGAGGCTTGCTTTAACAAAAGGCCATTTTACCTTTTTTTTTTTTTGTCATGGGGCCTGAACTCTGGGCCTGGGTGCTGTCCCTCAGCTCTTCAGCTTAGGGCTAGCGCTCTACCACTTGAGCCACAGCGCCACTTCCG